AGTAGCTGGTAGGTCTGAACTTCCAACCTTGCAGTTAGTCCAGTGCTTATCCTACAGTGCCACACCAGGACTCTATAAATGCAAATACCTGTTGGATAAACAATGGACAAACAATGGACTTTGAACCACAAGGTTGACGATTTGAGCCCAGTAGCCGTTCCATGGGAGAAAGATGAGACTTTCTCGGAAATCTTAAATAGAGTCGCTATGAAGAGAAACCGACTTTAGGGCACTCAACAGCGACACCTAGCTAGAGAGTGACTCCTCCTCTTCCCCCAGCCCATCCCTAGTAACCATTCATGAACATTAGTTTCTCTATATGCATGTCGTTTTATGAAATTGACAGCATCAAATACTTGCTTTTTTGTGATTGCTCAACATAATGGTCTTTAGGTTTGTCCACATTGTAAACTTCTGTGAGAATTCGTTGTTCTCTGTGACTGAGTGGTATTCCATTGCATATGTATGAACCACATTTTACCTACCCATTCATTCACTGATGGCCACCAGGTTGTTCCCATCATTTTGGAATTGTGAACAGTGGTGCAGTGAACACACATAGGTGGTACATGTGTGTCCGTGTGACTTACAACAGATCCCTAGGGTGCATTCCTAGAAGTGGAATTGTCCACTTGTCCACAATGATTGTACCATTTTAATTCCCACTAGCAACACATTTGTTGCAATTTCTCCACATCCCTTCCAACACTTGTTTTGTTTTGTTTTAGCCTAGTGAGAGTGAAATGGTATCTCATTGCAGATTTCTTGTGAATTTCTCTGATGGCTTATGATGCCAAACCTCTTTTCATGTATCTGTTAAACCATTTGACTATCTCTGTTGTGAAGTGTTTGTTCCTGTCCTTGGCCCAGATTTTGATTAAATTATTTGCTTTTTTGTTAAGCTGTAGAACTCCTCTCTGTATTTTAGACATTGGACCCTTATCAGTTATAGTACCCCCAAAGATTTTCCCATGTTTATAAGAGTTTTTTTTATTGTTTTGATTAAGTCTTAATGGACACAAGTTGTTTCACTTTTATGAGGTCTCAGTTAACTGTTTTCTGTTGCTTATGTATTTGCTGTTGTATTCAGCTTGTTTAATTTTCAAGCTGGCTGCTGTATCCATACAGAATTACAAGTACCAGTAACAGCAGGTCTGCTTGCTCCTCAGGAACCTGTTTCAGTGTTTGGTTTTTAACCCTCAGGGTAGTCTCCTGGGTCAAGATGGCTGCTGGCGTGCCAACCACCACTTTCTGATTGCCAGGCAGAGAGCAAAGGAAGGGTAAAGACATAAAGGGGGAGCCCTGGCGGCATAGTAGTTAAGCCTTGGCTGCTAACTAAAAGGTCAGCAGTTTGAACTTAGGAACTGCTCCTCTGGGGAGAATGTGGCGGTCAGCTTCCATAAAGATGGTTGTTGTTGTTACGTGCCATCAAGATTCCAACCCATAGAGAATCTATACAGGGCTTCCAAGGAGCAGCTGGTGGGTTTGAACTGCCCATCTTGTGGTTTTCAATCCAGTGCCAATCCTGTAGCACGACACCAGGTGTCCTCATAAAGGTGGTTATTGTTGTAAAGTGCCGTCGAGTCCATTCTGACCCACAGTGACCCTGTATAGCGTTTCCGAGGAGCGGCTGGTGACTTTGAACCAGCAACCTTGCAGCCCAGCACCCTAACCCACCGTCACATCGGGATCCCATCTTGGAAATCCTATGGGCAGTTCACACTGTCCTGTAGGATCACTCTGAGTTGGAATCGATTCGACAGCTGCAGGTTTCGTTTGTAGTTGGTTTTTTTTGAGGGCAAAGAGACAGATCTCCCCATCTAGTGAGCTTCCGCTTAAGAACTTCCTAGAAGTCCCATTAATCACTCTGCCTATACCCCATTGGCCACTCTTGTCTGCAAGGCAGGCTGACAAATGTAGACTTTTAGCTAGCCACAGCCCCCCTCCTTAGCTTCCCTTCTCAAGGGTTTCTCCTTAAGAGGAAGAGAGAACACAGGCAGACAGACAGACAGCTTTTCACAATGATCCGTTTGTTAAAAAAAAAAAACAGTGTCTGGTTTAAACATAGCAATCATCAAGCAGGTCGTCCCACAGAGCTCAGATCAATCTCTGGGGCTCCAGTTTTGACATGAGACAATCCTGGGTTTGGGGTGGCTGTTCCATACTTTATAAGCTACATGACACATTTCACCCCTCGGACCCTGGGTTCTCACTTAAGATAGTGGGAAATGACTCTAGTAATGTCACATGACCCAAAACAAAATTACATCAATCGAAATAAATTAATGGGAATGAAAGTTCCACACAGTCCAAGAGAAACAGATGAGGCAACTTCCATATCACACAAAATGAAAAGCACTTCTTAGAGAAACTGAGAGGGCCATCTGATGTAGGTTTTGAAATTCACCCAGAAGCTCTGACTGTTGGGAGCCTGTGTGTATCTAGCAACCTGGCTTCCTGTTGTTGCTGTTGTTAAGTGCTGTGGAGTCAGTTCCGACTCCCAGACACCCTCGACCCTGTGTAGGGTTTCCAAGAAGCAGCTGGTGAATTTGAATTGCCAAACTTGTGGTTCAGACCAAACTTGCAGTCCAGTGCATTATCCCACAGTGCCATTCCTGGTTTGTTGTTGTTGTTATGTGCTGTGGAGTTGGTTCTGACTCATAGTGACCCTGTACAGGGTTTCCAAGGCTGTAAATCATTACGGGAGCAGAAAGCCTCATCTTTCTCCCACGGAACAGCCAGTAGTTTCGAACTGCTGACCTTGCGGTTCACAGCCTGATTCATAACCACTACGCTACCAGAGCTCCTTACTCCTGGTCTAGGGGCATATAAATAAAAACAACTGATGCCGTTAGAGGGGGAAATGGACAAAACTCACAGGTACAGTGGGAGAAGTTAGCAGGTTCTCTCTTTGAAATCATCAGAGCTTAGTAACCAAAATGTAGAGGATTTGAGTAACCCAGTTAGTAACCTTGGTGATTTCCACACCTGTAAGTTCACTCATGGGTGTATGTAAGTGTGTGTGTGTCATTTTGCACATAACCAGCAGAGAACATGTTCTTGTCAGTTCACAAAGATACCTACCCGGAAGGAATGCAGTGAGAGTCAGGTCAAACCAGGGCTACAAGCTGCTTCAGTACCAGTTCGATCTCCTGATGAGAGTTTACCCTTTTCCCCCAGAGACAGGCAGAAAGGCAAATTCTCAGTAAGGGGTCGAATGGGAACAAGGGGTGTATAGCCCTGGTTCTGTGACTTGACCAAGTTGTTGCACCCAGCATTTCTCAGTTTAAGTGTCTCCATGGAGTGTGACATGAGCAGAGAGGAGGCTATGTACCCAGGACCCCATGGGGAAAAGGAGAGCCCACCCCCTCTTCCAGACGCTGACTAATGTCACCTGCTCTTCCCTCTTAGAGCATGCCAATTACTTTGGCGTGGACGAGAAGCTGGGACCGGTGGCCGTGAGCATCAAGCGGGAGAAGCTGGAAGACCACAAGGACCATGGGCCTCAGTACCAATACAGGATCATCTTCCGGACCCGTGAGGTAGGTCCCGCCACTTCGTTGCTGTTACGTGAGCAACACCACATCCACCTGTGAGCCCTTGGCTCTGTGCCAGGTGCTGTGGGCAAACCCCTCCACCACTTCATTGTGTGGCATCCTCCCAGCTGCCCCAGATGAAGCGATCCTGTGCACCTGCCCATTTTACAGAGGAGGAAACGGAGACTCAGATTACACAATCTTTCTGGGTCCCACATTGAGTCAGTGGCCAAGTCAAGATTTGAATACAGGGCACCTGACTGCAGAGCCCAAGGGTCTTCATTGTCAGACACTCACTGGTTGGTTTGCACAAGAAAGGAAGGAGCTTTAGGAAGTGCTTTCAGTCTAAGGGGGTGTCTGTCCTGTAGGAAGGAAAGGCTAAGACACTGAGCCTCACAGGCAGGGTGGGACGTGGGGAATCTGGTTGGTGCTGCTTATCTAAGCACTCTCTCCATGGCCCCCTTCCATTCTGAGTAGAGACTCACTTGGTTTGGTCAGTATTGTCTCCTGATTAAATGCCAGCCGTGGTTTGGAGCCCAAGCCTAACTTTTGGAGGCAACCTTGCACTATTTGTTGTTGTTGTTGTTAAGTGCTATCGAGTCGGCTCCAACTCATAGCAACCCTGTATAGGGTTTCTGAGGAGCAGCTAGTGGATTTGAACTGCTGACTTTGCAGTCCAGTGAATTAACCTGAGCACCACACCAGACTCCATCTAAAATGTGACAGAGAGTTGCTTTAAATGCCTTAAATCAGAAAGAGACTCCATTGGCTGGTATAACTATAAATCCAGTCTTACTAGCTTTCAAGCAAGATTGGACCCAGGAACTCCAGTTTTGTTGGCAGAACTCGCTTGCTCTCTCTGCCTGCTAACCAAAGGTTCTGCTTCTTGTCACGCTGTGAACGTTACTCTCTTCAGTTATCAGTGAGCTCTCTCCATGTCGTGAGGAAATGGCCACTGATTAGCCAAGGCTTCGGTGTCTTTACACTTCCTGATCCTACTTCTTTATACGCTTCTTGGCTCAGTTTCCAGGCAGGATTCTAATTGGCTCTCCATGGATCTCAAGCCCACACCCTGAACCAATCACTGAATCACACTGATAAAGGAAACTGAGCACATGTAGACCACATGCATCACCTACATCCAGGGACCAGGCAGGGCAGGACATCATGATGGATGGCTCTGTGAGAACCAGCTGGAGGAGGTGGTGGGTGTGATCCTCCACCAAACCCAAAACACCAAACCCATTTGCCGTTGAGTGCATTCTAAGACTGTAAATCTTTATGGGAGCAGACAGCCTCATCTTTCTCCTGTGGTGCAGCTTGTGGGTTTGAACTGCCAACCTTGCAGTTAGCAACCTAAAGACACAGCACCATCAGAGCTCCTCAGCCTTAAACCAAAATCCTCCCCTAAAGTCTTTTAAAACCAAACAGTCGTTTTAGCTGAACTAGTAAAAAACAAAAGTCTGCCTCGTACCTTATTCTCCTTTAAGAACTCTCTTTATGGAAGCAAAGAGCCTGGTGGTACAGTGGGTCATGCATTGGGCTGCTAGCCACAGGTTGATGGTTCAGATCCACCAGCTGCCTCATGGAAAACCGCTAAGACAGTCTGTTCCTGTAAAGATTTACAGTCTCAGGGCCACATGCAGCAATTCTGTTCTCTCCTACACGTTGCTGTGAGCAGTCTACTCGACAGCTGTGGGGTTGTTGGTTTGGTTGTTGGTATATGGAGTCAAAGTGAGAAGAGAACCTCGAAGTATTGGATAGGAGCCTTAGGAAGCGGGGAGCACATGGTTTTAGCACGTGAGTGTATGTTAGTGAGGGAAGAACGACTCCGAAGAGGAGTCAGAGAATGGAATCAGTACCACTTAGTGTCTATGTAGAAACTGTTGAATTGGTGTAGGTTTTGCTGTGTGTATTCTGAACAACACAATAAATAAAAATTAAAGAAAGGAGCTGGCCAAGAAAAATGGTAGGCTTCCAAAAGACCCAAGTAAAGAAGACCTATTTAGAAAAGAGGGAATGGTAACTGAGTAGCTCCCCACAGTGAGTCTCCCTTGGCCGTGAATTGTCCCCGCTGCTGTAGACCTAAGCCCTGGACCTCATCCAGGCTGGCTGACACAGCCCTAGCCTGTCTCCAGATGGCCACTTTCCTATTGAGGGCAAGTAGAATGGCGCAGAAGCTTGGGGGGAGGCTGACCAGAAGCACGTGTCCTGAACGAGGAGGCTGCTCCTTGTCCTCCTCTGTGTCTTCGGTCCCCTCCTCCTCTTTCTAGACAGATCAGCACCAGGACAGGATGTGAGGTGACAGCTCACACAGCATCAGGCTATTTTATGACATCGGGGGAAAACTGCTGGGGTCATGGAATGATGATCTTGTATTAATAAATAGTATTTATTACAATTACTGTATCGTCAGGAAGGGCCAGTCCTCTGAGAAGGGTATCATACTAGGTGGAGTGGCATGCCAGAGAAAAAGAGGAAGACTCCCAACGAGATAGACTGCACAGTGGCAGGAGCAGTGGGCTCTAGTGTCACAATGATTGTGAGGGTGGCACAGGACCAGGCAGTGTTTCCTTGTGTTGTGCGTAGGTTCACTATGAATCGGAGTCGACTCGACGTCACCTAACAACAACACAATTACTATCAATGACAAATCTGCTTAGCACTTACTGTGTGCTAGGCGCATTGTTCTGTACCCTTTATAGAAAGTAACTTGGACTCCTGGTGTGGTGTTGTAGAGTAAGCACTGGACTGTTAACCACAAGGTCGGCGGTTCAAGCTCACCAGCTGCTCCTTGGAACCCTATACAGCGTCACTATGAGTCGGAACTGACGTTACACCACTTAACAACAATCTCCTAACAGTCTGTTGATGAAGGCACCGTCATCCTTACAGAGACACAACAGGCACTGAGAGGTTATGTGACTTGGCTGGAGCATGATCCAGCAAGCGGCAGGGCTTGTGTTCTTAGCCATCACCTCTCCTGCCTCTGGGGTTGGAGTAACAGCTCAGACGACAGGCTGGACCCATTCACGAGCTATGAATTGAGCTTAGTGCCAGCGTTTTCTCTCTAATGACAATAGGACCTGTAGAATAAATTGCATTCCACATACTGAGTGATGAGCCTGTGTTGTAGAGATGCTGGGTCAGACGATAAGTGTTTTCACTGTGGTTCCTATTCAGTAACTTGGAAAGTGACTTGGTGCCATTTACAGCCCATGCCTGCTCCCACCTCGGCACCCACACTAGCCCCTAGGGACTGTGGTCCTCACAGATTCTCTCAGTACCACCTGCCTGCCCTGCTTGAGGTACAGAGGGGCAGGGGTGATTGCAGCAGCAAGCTGCTCGGGGGGAGACAAGCAGTGCGCCAGGTCAGTTAGTCAGCTCCACAGCGTGTTACAGAGGGAAGAGGCGGGAGGGGCAGGCTGGGCAGTGAGATTTTTAAGCAGGATGGCTGCGCGGGTGTCTGTGAGAAGGTGGCACCTGATAAAGTGGTGGAGGAGGGGAGGGAGGACATCCGGAAGAAGTGTTGTTCAAACAGAAGCAGCACGTGGACTAAGACCATGCCTGGCGTGTTTGAGACCCGAGGTCAGTCCTAGCTGGACCACTCAGCAGCTCTGGGACTGGGTCTGTGGCTGCCACTCTCAGAGCCTCGGTTTCCCTCATGGGTACACCAGTGAGCGCTGGGTCTGGCATGTGAGGAGAACCCAGTCACGGTAGCTGCCCAGAGAGTCCTGCCCAGCCACCTTTGTGTCACACCCAGTCAGCTCTGTGAACGTGGTCCACTCCGAGCCCACCCTGAGGTTCATACAGCGAGGCTTTCTCTGCCTTCACACACAGGCTCAACCCCTGTCCCCAGCAGTGGCCCTCGGGCCCAAGAGACCCCCATCATCTGGAATTGAAGGGAGGACAAAACCAGCAAGGTGCTTCTCCCCTTCCTAAAGCTCCTTTCACTGTGGAGGGTTAGAGTCCAGTAATGGTAATAAGACAGGAGTAATAGCTAACTTGTAGCACATGCTTCTGCCCCACACTGTTCAGGGATCTCAACACTCGCATGAGGTGAATCCCCTCATATAACCCCATTCTATAGATGGGAACATTGAGGCTGAAAGAGGGACTGACAGCAGCCAGCACATGGACCCAGGCAGCCTGGCTTCCATGTCCACAATAGTACACACTGTAACCAGACAGCCCTGGATCCCAGTACCACTCTGCTTACCACCTTGTGCCCTTGGGCAGATGGTTTTACCTCAGAGGCCTCCGTTTCTGCATCTGTGAAATTGATGGTGATACCTTTTGTTCCCAAGAGGAGCATGGACAAAGTTCTGTCCACACCAACACGCCTCTGGAGTCAGGGCCCAGGCTGCTTTCCAAGGCAGCCGGCTGGACAGCCGCAGATGGCCACCCTCGTGCGCCAAGCCGACAGGCGTGAGTGGGCCCGCATCTCCCAGCAGATGGGAAGTGAGCGTTGGCAGTGCTTAGCTTCCCGCTGAGGAGGGAACAGACATGGAGCTGGGCTTTGGCACCACATGCCTGAAACGTCAGCCTCTGCCCCCAGCCAGTGAGCCCTGGACAGGAGGAACTCCGAGCCAGGGTTACCCTCTCCTGGCACGGCCTCACTTAGGAGACAGAGCCCGACTAGCCAGGGCTGATCTGGTCTCGACAGACCCATTGGGTCCTCTTTGGCCTAGCAGACATGAGTTCTTGGCATGCCTTAGTTTTGTGAGGGTTAGAGGTTTGGAAACTTTTTAAATCCGTTTTTTGTTTGTTTTAATTTAGAAAGTAACAGGTGCTCACCATTGTCCAGACTTTAAACACCTGAAGTTATAAAATTATAAAAAGGAGCCTTGGGGTCACCAGAAATCCCAGCCAACTCAAAAGCAGCTGGTTTGGGTCATTGGGGTTCCTCTGTGGATAAAGTAAGGGAACGATGTATCAAGTGAGCCCCCTATATGCGTCCAATGTGAAGGATACCACTGGGTGGATAATAGACAGTAAGCAGTAGG